TATTAAGTAAAGCCCTGTCCACTTCTGGCTACTCAGCTCAGGTTAGGATTTTGTTTCTGAAATTTGGTCATATTGGCAGCCAACCTTAACCTCATTGTGGGGTGAGTCATTAACCATGAGAGGAAGGAAGAGTGAATTAATGCAGCAGTGACATCAAGGCAACAACAACAACATTAACAATTGTTAAGTTTGTTTATTCTCTGCTTTCAAAACAGTACGGTCAATTCAAATGGGACAATGCATCAAACCTTCCAGTTTCACTCTGTGCAGTGGGGAATAAAGAGGATTTGAGAGGTTTGAGTTGGGCCTGCAAAACAAGAAAATGTCCATGAGGGGTGTGCAGGCAGCCCCATCAGAGGGTGGCCTCAGGGGCTCTGTGTGATGCTGTGAATCCCAAATCCCAGCCTGGGGAAGAGGACAGGGACTGGCACAGACACATGGTGATTGGGGTGACCTACTGACATTAATAAAAACAAACATGGCTAAGCACTCCACTTGGAGGGAGAAGGACAGGGCTGTGTGATTTCAGTTCGGGTTCAGTTTGTGACTTATTCTGAGTTTTTTTAATTATCCCTTTTAGCAAATGTCAGCAGAGTGCAGTTTAAAACAAAAAGAAAGAAACAAAGGAATTTGGAAAGCAGACTTTAGCTTCAATTACAACACTTTTTAGGGCTGTTTCCTATAATAGGGCCACCACATACCCACAAGGCCCACCCCATCACTGGAGTGTTCAAGGCCACCTTCCACAGGGCCTGGAGCAACCTGGTCTAGTGGAAAGTGTCCCTGCTCATGGTGGGTGGTTTGAACTAGATGGTCTTTCAGTCCCTTCCAACCCAAACCACTCTATACTTCAATAAGACTCCCCAAAAAAATCCAGTCTGGGGCTTAAATACAGCTTCAGGTACAGCCACTCCATCTCAGTGACTCCCAGAGAGGATGATCTCTTTCAAGGCCTGCTGGAATAACAACAGGGTGCCAGGATGCTCTGATCATAAAATTCAAAACAGGGAAAAGATGATAAAAAAATTACCTAACAGCAAGAAGCATGTGAAATACCACGAGATCCTGCTGCTCCCTGGACTACCCCCAATTCCTGTAATAGATTTATCTCATGGAAGCCATTCAAAAAGTCACAACTGCCAGGACAGAAATATGGACCTCAAGAAAAACATGACAGGGAAAAAAAACAGTGGCTGAAGGGGAATTTGGGAGAGCTGATCTACAAACAAGACATGAAGGCTCCAATAAGGCTCTCGTGAAAGGTGCTCAGCTATATCCCACATCCAGCCCCATGGGTTTCAGGGGTTACCTTTCCTGTTGATGAATTACTGTTGTGTTTCTGCTGCAGTTAGCACTGGTACCAAAGCTGTGAGGTTCCTGTGACAATTCAGAGATTTATCTTGGTGCTCATCACCTGAGGGCTCCTGAGGGCCTCGCACCAGGCTGTGACAGGGAGCGATGGACAGGAAGGGCTCTGGGCAGGCCCAGCCAGTGAACACACTGGGAATTTTGCTGTTGTGGCCACTTAGGGCATGAATTATGTCCAGCCTTTAACACAGATGATGATGTCTGATGCAACAAGGACTTAGCACATAAAAACCTTTTCATAAATTGCTCAGTCCCCCTTCTTGCAAAGTCGTTACAACTGCAAGGTGTAAAAGAACAGCATAAAATTCACACTGATCCCTTCAATTCTTTTTTAAGCATCTTTAAATGCAGCTTTTTTTTCCCCTGCTATACATCTTACTTTTTATAGTTAAAAGTAATTTTAAAGCAAAAAAGAACATAAACAATATACACTGACTCTTGACACTCCATTGCTTTTTTAAACTAGAATAATAAAAATTTGCAAATGAACAAAAGAGTGGGAGGAAGATATCTGATTTACAATGTTTTTGAGATAAAGAACACTATAAAAAAAGATCAATGTGAATAATAAAGCATTGTTAACTGAGTCATGACATTTCTATTCTCAGTGAAGATTTGAACAGTAGAGCTCTGCAAATGAGCACCTTGTGCCATTTTCAAAGTGGGAGGAAGACATATAATTATAATTTTTAAAGTGAAGAGAATTTTTAAAAAAATCTCTGTGAAAAAGTTTATTGAAAAACATATCGACATATCAATATGACATAAATTACTTTAATTTTATTAAACTGGGAGGGGGGGGAAAACCTCTTTTTGAAGACTGGCTGCAGAAAGCATTCCTTGAAAAGAATTTTCTTTATTAAAAACTCTTTGCTAAGATGAAACAGCACTGAATGTCAGCACTACCGTATATTTATTCTGTAACTCTTCCAACAGCCGAGATCTATAAAAGAAACATATTTTCAAAACAGTTTTAACCTCCATTGTCTTGATCATTCGTATTAACATTTTTCATGTCACCTATTGAAATCCCTTAAAGGAACCTTTTATTCAGTCAAAATTAATGAAGCCGTTTTCTTAAACAGCCTCCAAAAAGTAAAAAGGACGTAATGTTGTGCATTTCATTTGACATACGTTTTCTGCCATTTCACTTATTTCTGTGATGAGAGCAATACTTCATATTTATGCTATCAAGTCTGCAGAGAAAAGTGATTTTGAGAGAGAAGAAAACCAACTCTGCTCTTGCTGTGTGTGCAATTTAAATCCACAGCGAAAATACAGCATTGATCAGATTACTCCAATTGAGTCATTTAGTGCTTTGGCATTCCTGAAGTTAGGGCCCAGCTGTGAAATCATACTTGGGGCCAAACATTGCTGTTAGGTGAGTGCACATGGCTCCCATTTTCTTCAAAGGGAATGACACACATGGCCAATATTTAGCTTTCACCTCTTCCATTCTTTAGCTAGCAAAGCCAGAACCAGTGGAGTATATGCAGGCAATTTAACCGAATTAAGAATACAATCAAGATTTTCCGGGACTTACTAGTGATTTGGGATATAGAATTCAATACACATCAAAACACAGATGCTCAGCATATTCTGAAAATCAGGCCATCTCAAATGTCTTGCTTCAAGCAGGTAAAATCATAAATTACTCTGAGTATTTTGGCCATTGGATCCTAACAAACTGGGTGTAGTACACTTCTTCAAAATTATAAACTCCAATTTCTGGCTTGACTAGGATGCCTGGGAGAATTACAACATCCCAGCCCATTTTTGTTCCTGTGTTGGCGCACAGTTCTCCCCTGCCATTACCATTACAGTACTTGAACACAGTGCAGGTGCCCTTCTGCAGCAGGTGACCCCTAGGGAAAATCCAGCTCCTGGCTCTGCAGGTCCCCTGGGATGCACTGAGCTGCTGGGATGGCCCACAAGACCTTATAGCTAAGTGCCATGGAGAGAAAAAAGGATGCAACCCAAAAAGCTAGCTGCCCCATGCTGCATGCAGATCTTCATTTCAACTCAAGGTCAAGTGGAAAACTTTTCTACCATCCTTGCTGACTCTCCTCTTCACTTTCTCCTGACTCCATCTGTTCCTCACCCATCTCCTTCGTTCCGCACTCGCCTCCCTCTTCTTCCTGTGTCCATCTGTTCCCTCCTTCCTCGACACAAGTTGGGGAAGGGAAGTAAATTCAGTCATTCACTGAACAGATTTCAAGATGAACCCCCTCCCTCTCCAGTTCTAACTTCATTCATCATGGTAAAAATTATAATGAATAGAAATGTTGAAGGTGAAAATTTATTAGGGATTGTGTTGCTTTCTTATATGAAAAGCAGTTAAAGCGGCATACAAACATTGGCTTCATTCATTTTTTCTTAATATATGGCATAATTAGTGAGAAATATTAGTGGAAGTGCTTGCTATGCAGTCCATCAACACATGCCTGTCAGAGCTTAGGATCTGGGCCAAAAGTTTTTGCCAGTCCTGTGATAGATTTACAATAAGCCTATAGAAGGCTTTACAGTTAGCTGGGTCACTAATTCATGAAGTTACAATGTATGCAATGAGGTCAAAAATTCACTATTGATAAAATACCCCCTCCCGGGATTGCACCATTAGCTTTGTTACTGCAACAGCAAAATAAAGTAAACCCAAAGCTCCTGTGAATTACCAGTCCATCATCGTAAATCAGTAGTGAAGCACTTGCACGAGTTCATGATGTCATCTGAAGCCCGGGATATATTTATAGCCTTGTGTACTATTTCCTGTTTCCTCATGACAAAAATAAACAGTCTCCAAATCCCCTGCATCCTTCTGCCTGAGCTCAGCAAAATGTAATGGGCACGAATCTCTGAAAGGCCCTGTGATATATGGGTCTGGAGCAGCTCCCCTCTGATGGGCCACGGCGCCCGCGCTCCCTCCGGCCTCTCCATGTGGGCAACAGCAGCTCCCATGGAGTTTGCTCCATCTGCTGCACTCACTGCTGGGATAGTCCCACACCCCCTCCTACTTTGCCTCCCTGACACTTGGAGAGAGAAGGAAAGGAGATTTAAGCCTCCAAGCCTTAGGCATGGAGTAAACAGCCTGGCAGGCGCATCCGAGGTGGAGGAGCTCAGCATTGCTCCATGTGGGAACCTGGGCTTGCCACCACATGGACCTTGGGCATCTTGTCCACCAAGAATGACAAGCCATGAAGCTTGGAGTTTGGGCTTAAATTTCCTCTCTCCTCCCTGTACTCATGGTTTGGGATCCTCATTTAAGTTTTCTGAGGTGTTTGGGCATGGAGGATGCCCCACATTTCATCTCAGACCTCCCAGCTCTCAAATTTTCTGTACCTACCTGAATTGCTGTGTTTGCTGTGATTCCTCTTCACCTTTTCTTGGGTCAAACTTTCTGTCTTGGCAGTTTATTTTTTGCTTCCTTTCCTGAAAAGAGACAGAGGGAAACACAAACAGCGCCCCATGCCATATAACCTCCCACAGCAAGGAAGCAGATTGGCTTCTGTTTGACCTCAGACCAACAACTCCTGAAGTCAATGACTGTCACTAAGTGGCTGAGGGTGATAGCTGTGCCAAACCACATTCATTTGACACTTATCCCTCTTCAATTTTGTTTTCTTCTCTCCACCAAGACCGCCGCACCAGCTCCCTGCCTCTACTGGCCCTCCCTGGGGTGACATCGAGCAGCGAGGACCATCCAGGTAAGATGCTGTCCCCATTCATGCAGAGATACTCCCTCCCTGGCAGACCATTTTATCCTTTAAATGATCAAGAAAAAGTGTTTTGTTTTTCTTTTGCCTTTTTGAAGCACTGCTGTCAAACCCTGAGGTTTGGGTTTCATGGTTCTATGAGAACCAAGCATGTTCAGATCAAGCCTTCATACGTACAAGTTTTCATCCATCAGGTCTGATGCAGCTCTGCCTGTGTCACCTGGGGACTGAATGGACATGGCACACAGCTCTTGCAGTGATGAGCATGTGCTACATTAAACAGACAGGTAGCGACAGCAGGCCACGGGATAATGAATGCTGCACTCACACACCAACATGCCTCAGGGGAAAATTAAAAAGTTACAGGTCCTAAACTGCTACAGTTTTCCACACAGTTTAGCATTAACCCTTGGGAGTCCTTGCTACAGGGGTGTGAGACAAAGGGCCGCTGCCAGGATGGATTTGGAGTAAATGCCAGCACTGAACAGAGACACAGGCTCCCTTGTCCTTTGCCTGTAAGAGGTGGATGAGCCCTAGGAGGGTCAGAGATCAATTCTTCTTCTCCTTCAGTGGAGTCTCTTCCTAAACAGCTGCTCCAAGAGCTGCTTGGATTACCTGCATTGCTGCAGTCCCTGTTCAGCAGAACAGAGCTCCTCTTAAACCCTCTGTCCCTTATCAAAAATAGACTTAGAGCCCTCGTATACCTCTATACTAAATCTAATTTCAGAAGCATGCAGGGAAACTGCAGACTCCTCTTCTCCAGGGCTGCAGGATGCTGGTTTGTGCCTAAAGCCAGTGAAGAGAAATAGAGGTCAGGGGGCATACTGCAAATGCCAGTCTGGGTATCACTGCTCCTCCCCATTAACCAGAGGGATCTGGGGCTGGCATCAGTGCAAAGTGATTTACTTTGTGCTTCCATGAATTTAGACACTTGTAGTCAGCCATCTGAATCGCCCAACTCCAAAAAGAAAAAGCAAAAAGAAATTCCATGTGAGTATTGAGACTATCTTTAATACAAACATGGGTGAACAATCCCAGTCTTCTACTGCAACAGCCAAGGCGAGTCCCAGCTTCCCCATGTGAGGAAGAAAGTTGCTACTTCATACTATTTAAAAATGGCACATTGTGGGGGTGTACCTTTAGCAGCCTCTGCCTAACAGTCTAACACTGAATATTCTGAGATTTCTTCATTATGATACACTTATTTTTCCCTTTAAGTTCACTTCAGTGGTTGATTTCTATACATTAAAAACACAGACATATGTGGACATTTGAAGCTGAACACAGGCTCTTAAAAGAGACTTGCAAAGTTTGACCCTCTTCCCATTTCTAATTGCAATTTGGGATTTTTTTATGTTCTCATTTAACAGTAATCATAAATACTATAAGTGGTATGTAATATATTTTTAAAGCCTATTTGGCTACAACTATTTGTTCCAAACTCTCAACCTACTACTGTTCCATCCACCAACAAACTATAATAGAGGAAGAAAAAAGTGCTAACCACCTTTTTTTTTTCTGCTGGTCTAGCACAATCTTTATTTCTTCAGACACTTTGTGCAAACATTAAATTGATAAAAGACATAATGTAGATGGACCCACAGCTGAACTGAAGGTAATTGCATAAAAATGAAATGGAGACCTATAATTGTACACTGCTTTAGCCTCTCCTGCAGTGTTTTCTGGAAGCAAGGATCTCGCTTGTCATAGCAAGTTGCTTGTTACAGTGATTGCGTGAAGACTTGATCTAGCTGTACAAGACAAGTATAACATTACTGAAAGGGAGCTTTTCAAACTAAGAGTCTGACACTAAAATGTACTTGTATTTTCCAAGATGTAGTATGCTTTAACAAACAGAAGAGTCCCTGAGTGACAGCTTTTGTTACCCTTTTGTTTGATGGTGCTGTATTGAAAAATTCAGGTTATGTCTATGCCTTTCTATTTCTGGTTTTGATTTCTCTTCAACAGCACTTCAAGAATAAAAATTGACTCCAAGTATGAATAGTAGAAGTCGGTGGATACAGTAAATGTCAGTCTGGCATTTACTGATTACTTCTGTCAGACTTTTTTTTCAGTCTCGCTTCTTGAATGCTTAAATGCATTCTGTGGGCCATTGTATTGTTGCAGAATTGGGAAACTCAACAAATATATCATGAATTAAAACATATCTAGTTTACATTTTTGGGCAGATTTTGAAAGTGGAAAATAATAGTTATTCTTGCCTAAGCCTTTTGATTTGGTCTGTGTGTATCCAAAGGCTAAGGCTGGGTGTAGCTCTCAGTGTGAACAAACAGGCCCCATTTGTGATATTGACACCTGGCTAACAAGTCGGGCTTGTGTCTTTTGGACACACAAAACAACTCTACTTATCTCTCAAATCTTTGCTTCCCCCCTCTTCAAGCTTTATGGTTGCACTGTTTTTCACTTACCTGCAATCCATCCATCCCATCCACATTTCCTCCTGTCTCTGCAAGGATACTGGGGGAACAGCTGCAGTCTCATCAAGGTTACACTCTCTGTCAGCCTTTCCTTGGCTTTTCTTTAACATGGGTCAGAAGTCAAAGGTACCTAAAAACCAAGATATATGCAGGGCCTCTCTTCAGACTCCTTGCAGGCAAGTGCAGTTGAGCCACTTCAGAGCACTTACTGTTCCTCTCAGAAAGCAGTATTTGCAAAACTGAGGAGTTTGTAAAGATTGATTTTCTGTATATAGCTCAAGAACAAGCATATCACAAGATTTAAGTGAGATAAAAAGTGAGGCTGTGCTTGATGTGAGGGTGCAGGAGTTAATCAGCTGTAGATAAGAACTGATGAGGTTTTATCATCCCCGCCATGGAGAGAATGACTGTGTTTCTTGGCCACTTGATCACTTCAGAGATCGAGTGAAACTATATATCAACCCATGTTTATCTGTGCCTGAAGAATTCCTCAAGAATAAATTGAACTCAGAACTCTTCTTAACCTTTCCCCTAGTTGGGGCTTAATTTTAAGCTCTCCCTCTGGTTTTTGAGCTGCCTCTCTGGCACGCTGACAGCATGTGAAGTATCCCATCTCCTAGTTGACTTCCAGGCCAACAACGCAAGTGGGGATGAAGTTATGAAATAAGGAATCTGGATGCTAAACAGAGACCATCTGGCTGTCTTTGCTACAGGATTATGAGCCACGGTGAGCTGGCACATCTGCATCCAGGTACTGCCCACGTGCATGTTGTTGGCTGTTAATTTAGGGAAATGAAGTTGCAGCTGAAAAGTAACAAGATAATTGTTTTGCCTTCTTTTCTGTCAGAAATTGAAGTTAGGATATCAAAGTCTAAATAGATGTCAACCGAGGCAATAGTTCTGTTTTCTTTCCAAACCTGATCCCACCCACTGGAAATGAATTATTACTTAGCCTCTAAGTCCTCTGGGTTTAAGAAAAAACCTTAGAAGGCAAGTTCACAAATACCTTTACTATGAATAAACCTCTGTAAAGAGACTGGAATCATTAGGTGAGAAGGGTTAGGCCTTGGAAGTAAACAACTGTAGGTTTGAAAATTCTGCATATGTTATTCTCTCAGATCTCTGCCTTGGTATCACAGTCTTTTTTTTCCTAATCCCACCAGATAACCAGCTTACAAATGAAAAACACACAGATGAAAAGCCTATGAAAGGTATTGTTATGAGTTCAGTCGCAGAATTCAGCATCACAGACGCTTCATCAAAGGGTACCAAAAATGAGAAGAAATTGTCAGATGCAAGCAGATCATCCATTGCTTCCCTGGAGAAATGCAGAGAATTCTCTTACATTGAAGATGATGCATCAGTACATCAGAGAGACAGTGACGGTATGTTTTATAAAACAGATCACATTTGAGCTGATTTCTAAATAATGCCCACTGCAAAAGAACTATGTATAACCAACTCGAAATTAAATGTTGAACAGGAGGTTCAAGAACATCGCCAAAAGCAATGTTAAGTTGCCCTGCAGACATTTGTGTGATAGATGAGAATTTCTAGAAGATGATCTTAAATTGTCAGTGATACTAAAGTCATAGAAGAGGAGCTTAGAGCTTATTGTGCCACAGAGCATTTGTACTTTAGCAATGAGAGTTTGCACAGAGGCACCAGTGTCAGTATCAGATAAATCTATTCCTGGTTATTCCAGTGGATGTTAAAAAAAGGCTCTGCGAAGTATTTCAGAAGTTTCTTTTGAGTGCCTTTTGCAATAATGGATTAGTGTGTTATATCCAATGGAGCTGGGATCTGTCGTGCATATCATTTGACAATTCCTAAATTAAGCATTTCTAAATAGAGACCAACACAATAAAGTGCCCTGTTCTCCAAGAATCATTAACATCTCTATTGTGTCACAGATCCTTAAAAAGGGATGTCTATGATACATCTATTGGAATATGCTTAATTTCAGAGAAGGATCTGAAGTATTTATTTTATTTAGGGAACTTGTCCTCTTGTCCTGACACTTCCTATTTTTGAGCTTGAGGTCTCTCTCAGCCACTTCTGGCACACAGGTGTGTACCATATGATGCAAATAACAGATTTCATTCTCCTTAAAAAAGCTAAATGTGAAGGAAATTAACAACAACAACAAAAAACCCAATCTGTGCTTAATTAATAATGTTAAGGGCTGGATAGAAGCCAAGAAAACCAAAGGAAGACAGATTTGTGGTTGTCATTGCATACTCAGCTCACTCCACTCTGACAACTTACTGCTTATTCCACATACACAAGGCCAAATCCTGTTTGCTCAGAGAACCTCTGAAGGCAGAGCAATAGATGAGGAAATTGGTGATTATTTTGTTCCCAGGGTTCAGATAAGAGCAAATACAACACTCATAGGTCTCACCAAGGATGACCAGAAAGGCTTCAGCAATCTTTGGACCAGGGTTGTTCAGAGCATCATCTGTGTGAGCAGATGCCACCAAACTAGAGCAGGAAAACTTAGAGATGAGGCATGCTAGAAAAATTATTATAAATTCTTCTTTTGTGCTAATTAATCTAGTAATGTAGAGAAGGAGAGCTGAGGTCATTGTTCTCACTGAGATAAACGCAGTAATGCTGTTTGGCAAACAGCAGGGAAAACAGAGGGGAAAACAAGAGATTGCATCTTCCTTTATGCAGTTTGTGGCTAATTTATTTTCAAATATATAAATGAATGCATAGGAATGGATGTCTAATTGCTAATATCTATTATTTATATACATTACCCCACTTAAAACAGGACCAAAAAGCCTCACACATGCAGATTTTTTGAAATGTGTTACATCCATTATCACAGTTCATGGTGTGTGCTCTGATGGGAATTTAAAAGCATCTTTACTGCACATCACAGAGTCTGTGCTGAAACATTACTTTATTATTAAAATCTTGCGCTTTTTGTGTGCTCTCTTTCCTGGATGAAGCCCTAAGAATCCTATCTATTCTCTCCAGATTACATAAGCATCATTATGGTTAACATATTCAGGGGAAAAAAACTGTTATTAAAAAAATGGATCTTTGGAGATGGAGAAAAAAATTGCCAAATCCTTAATTGAGACATAACTTTGAATTCTGTCTCTCACATCTATGTATAGGAAAGAAATTTCATAAACATAAGAGAACTAAAAAGAATAGTCTTAATTACACCAAGAACTACTGGATAAAATGATTACATTTTTTACAGTGTAAATTTCATACAATTAAATACAGTAGTGTCACCTTATTAACTGTTTCAATTTTATAATTATTTCAGTTCATTTAGCTAGGGAAAAATATAAGCATGAACTTACTGAGTATCACCAAAATCTAGTCATTCTTATTTGACAGGACTGACTTAGAAGTTAGTTGTGCTTGTCTGAATCTAAATAGATCTTGACATATTTAAATAAGTATTAAAATTGATAACATTGGTGATGATATGCCATTTAGAAAGAAGTTCAGTCATATGCTATTTGTTCTTGCTACCTTGCCTTTTTAATAAAGAAGCTGGAATGATTTTTTTTAAATTTTGTTTTTTCATCAAGAAATCTTTCTAAAAAAAAAAAAGCATAATTCTGGAAACTTCCTGGCAGTGAACTTCATGTTACGTGAGCTAGAAAATGCCACAACAGAACCAATGCAGTTGAATGAGTTCACAGTTAGTCATCCTAGGGCAAGAAATGTGGTTATAACCATATGCTTTCCTGAAAGAAGCAATGAAAAGACATTCATATTGTTGAAGGCATTTTTCCTTTCCAAAAACAAGAAGGAACAAAAAAAAAAAAAAAAAAAAAGGAAAGGTCTGGGTCTGTGCTCCAAGAGGATTCACACAATTGGAATCTCACACCTGCTGCACCCAAGCAGCCTCCCCAGATGCTGGAGGCTGAGGGGTGAGGAGTTAATTAGTTGATTTTGGGAGGGCACAAACATAGCACAGAGTTTTAGTCATGGTGACCACGTTTTCAGGAATATTCACTGGCTCCAGACACACATCCTACATAACCTATTTTCCAAACTTTTGTCTCCTTTGAAAAACTGACATTTGTGAATGAAAAGGTGAGAACCCTGTTTGGTGGGGAGTTGGGAGGACCATGAGCTGAGACACACTGCCCTCTCTGAATGCTCTTCTCCAGACCTGCTCTCCCTCCCTATCCTTGGTAGTCTTTGAACATTTTTAGTGCAAACTCTTGTGAAAATGAAAATAAACTCCGGTGTCACCTGTGCTGGTGTCATGGTTTCCTCAGCCCCACAGAACCCCTCACTCACTGCCCCACTGCAGAATGGGGGTAACAGAAGGGTAAAAGGAAGAAAATTCATGGGATAAGATAAATACAGTGTAATAGGACAATATAGTGGTTTTACATGGGAGGAAGAAAAAAATATATATATTATATATAAATAAAAAATTAGAATATACAAAACAAGGTATACATATTGCAATTGCTCACCACTCACCAACTGATGCCCAGTCAGTTATCTGAGCAGAAACCCCTGCTTGTTTTCTGCCTAATTTATATTGATGCCATATGGTCTGGACTATCCCTCTAGCCAGCTGGGGTCGGCTCTCCTGGCTGTGTCCCTTCCCAGCTTCTTGTATCTCTTCAGCCTCCTTGCTGTCTGGGCATGAGAAGATAAAATCTGGTTTAAAGGCCTTGTTCTTCTTCTTTTCACTGCCACAGAGTATTTCCACTCAAATTCTTTTCATACAGCTGTTGTTTTTCCAGAGCAATCAAAACAGAAAATAAACTTTTCACTTGTCTCTATGGAAGTAGTTATCATTAATGTATTTTTAGCCCACCCCCTCACTTCTGGCGTAAACCTGGGCAATCCCAGCTCACATGTGTTCTTACATCTCCCTGCTTTTCCTCTCTCTTAGATGAATGTGCAACACTTATCCTGGCCTGCTTGTTCTGCCAGTTTTGGGACTTTCTTATAATGCTGCCTGATACCTGTGAACATTGGCTGACAGATACCTGTTGTCCATCCAATAGATATTACCAGACCTCCGACGAAGACCACGGCAGCAACGACTGCAACTGTGACTGTGACATTGATTGCAGCCTCTTTGAGTCCTGCCACGAGACCGGCGAGTGCCTGGAGCTGGCCATGGAGATATCTGAAGTCTGCTATCGCTGATAGGAAAATAATTGACAAAATTCATCAAAACTACCCGACAGATTACAAAGGAGATTTTTTTTTTTTTTTAATATTAATCATAACCAGAGGTTTTGTCAATGAGGACTATGCGCATCTTGTTGCTCCCTCCCTGGAGGTCTCTATGTTGGCATGATATCACAAACTGCTGAAACCAATAAAGGACAAAAAGGGGTCTTCTCTGCCATAGATGACAACAGAATTCCTAAGTGCCAAGTGTGCTCGCTGCTTTACCCACTGTAAATCCAAGCTTTTATGAACCTTTAATTGCTTTAAACACCAATTTTGCCATTCATAAACACAGAAAAAATTAGGATGTTATTTTAGGACTGATATATATATTAGTTCATCTTCCTAATGGATTCATACCTAAACATGTATTACATATTGTTGGTTATTATAAATAATTTATGATACAGCATCATTTTATAATTAAAAATTTATTTATTCAATCTCTTAAAACACTCTTATATGCCCAGTATAGGTAGAAAAAAAAAATTAATAATTAGAAACCATGCTACTGGTAATTACAGCAAATGTCACTGAAAATCTCCAGTGAATTTCGTTGAGGAAGCATTTTCACAGGGTACTGCAATTGGACAGTGTATTAATGTGCTGGCCCATGGTTATATAATAACAGGTTATGCCTATTGTTCATTAGTTATAGGAAAGGGTTTCTTAAGTATAATTAGCCAAAATGGGAATTGACTGCACATTTTCAGAGAAGAATTACCCCCATAGATAGCCAGCAGCTCCTTTCCTTGATTTCCATTTGTAAGACTTTTGCAAGAAACAGAATATTGCCACCTATTCTAGTGCAAACAGGCATCTCCACCTGTGCACAGAAGATTACAAAATGACAGTATCTATCCTGTGCTTTCAAATTCCCTCTATCTCTTTTCTGATGGCAGGTCTGATTAATAAAAAGGAAATACATGTTGCACATTACACATATGACAACAAAAACATGTTAATTTAGCAGCCTGAGGGTGCAGAACACAGGTATTAAGTACAGAGGAAAATACAGAATTGCTTGCTCACATTAGGTATTTATAGACTAACACCAAAGTCAGTGCTTGCTTTGTATAAGCACTAAAATTTCTCCCAAAATCCCCACTGATCTCAGTGCAGAAGTGCCTGTGGAATACCAAACAAGGATCCTGGGCAAGATACTGGGATATTAAACATTTCTAAAATAATTGAAGCCACTTGTTTATTAATCAGAGTCCTGGTGCACAAACATTTAATGGGGGGAAAAAATCCTGTGTATAATAACCTTTCCTTATCCCCCTTCTGTAAAACTCATGCTTTCAAAAAAATCAGAAAGCCAGAAGTAGAACCACTAACAACCTTTTTCCAGGTGTCTTACAAAGCCTGGTGACCAGAAGACAACAGACCTCAGGAATGCAGCAAGCAGCCCAGAACTAATTTCACTGCTCCTTCCAGGACATTGGTGGGGAATAGAAGAGATTTTCTTATCTTACAGAGTCCCATTGTGAGCTATAGTCACCTAAAGGACCCAGACCCCACAGCACAACCCACTGCCATCCAGGAGGCACTGGTTTGGGTCACCCACCTCAGGGATGGGCAATTTTAATGCTTCAATTTGCCTTCTCACACGGAATTCTGATCTTAAATCTTCCAAAGCTAAGCTAAACTCTCACTTCTACATACCAGCCCACAAAGGCTTGGATCATTCTGTCCTTTCTACCACAGGTTGTGGTAGAAACTAGTATGTGGGTATTTATGAATAAGAATTCTGACCCAGGGCATTTAGGAGTCAGAAAAGAGGGAAGCTTGTTCCACATACCAGTTCCTAGAGAAGCACTAATAAAGATGTACCTTGACAGTCCTTGCTCTTGATGCCAGTCTCCAAAATCGGAGATTTCATGTGCCATGGCTGGATGGAGCCCAAGACGGGAAACCAGAGGGTGGCAAACCCCAAAATGTTGTCAGTGAGGGAATCAGAGATGAGGACTTTCCCTTTCAAGCCAGGATGTCTTGTTCCAGTTCTGAGTCTGAAAGAAAAAACACATTGACCACACCAGTATGACTCATGGCAAGTGAGGCCTCATTCAGCTGTGGAACTGGACTGGGGGATTTTGGCACAAATGTGGAATTTTTTCCAACTTTTTTTCCTAGGAATCATTATTCAAAAGATTATTTCTTTGTATTGTAATCCATAGGTTGGCATATTGAGGTCATGGCTATTACAGGGCACAGGTAAGGTCAAAGGCAGAATTATTATAGCCATGATTAGACAGGATGTCCCAGAAATAAGAAAGGAATCACTCTGGGATATATTGAGAGCTACTGTGTTTTAAATAATGCAGCAGTATCTCCTTGCCTGAAGTGTACATGGGCACACTGCTCAGTTTCCTGCTTTAAGGAAGTAGATTTTTTGAGACCTTTTTGAGCAATGAAACCTTGAAAAACATGTTATTTCATACAACACAGTAGAATCAGCAGCTTATGATAACTTTGTTTTCTGTCTTAAAGTTGTTAATTGCAACTTTGTACTTTCATGACATGTAGGAACACTTAAACATATTGACACCAAAGAAAGTCAGTCAGACTTTCCCATTAACTATTCCAGAAACTCTTTGAAAAGCCATCCTATTCCCACACTAAACTGACTTCTGGTGCAGAAAAACACCCATTTATCAGATCTGAACATGGGCAGACATTCCAGCTAAGCCAAAGCACTTGGAACAATTCGAGGCTGCCTCTGTGTTTTTTATTTACTGGGAAGGAAGGTCTGGGTGCTGGAGTGGGAGGCGTTTGGGTGGATGGCTGCTGGGAACATGTTGGACTCAGCTGTGCTCCCGGGGAGATGTCAGCGCGTGGAACCAGCTCCTGAGAACAACAAATAGAAGTTCCCGTTTTGCAATCGGGAACAGCGCTCCGACACGACGCCTCTCCCCAGCTCCAGAAATGCACTGACAGATTGCCTGGGGGAAGAGAGAGACAGAGAGAATAGCGGAGAGCTGCACTGCTACCTTCCACAGGAAAGGACCACGGGATGCTCTCTAAGGATCTCCTCTTGGAAATGACCCAGCAGTCTCATCGTTGAGACAAAAATGTCTTTTCACCTTCTTTCACTCTGTTCTCAGAACACAATACGGATTAGGATGTAAACTGTAGGGGAATTGATGTTTGATAAATACTGGAAAAGCCTCTGGGGGCTTCCAAAAATTTAAAGTTCAGTTATCTCAAAGGATATTAAGTTCTCTGACTGACCATGAGCACTTCCATAATGTCATTCTGGTGCCTTACTCTCCATGTACAATGAGTCCCTTAGATGTGGGCTGGCAAAAATTATCCCATGTACATCCCCAAATATAGGGATGAAATATATTGTATTACCTCATTTGACTTTCCTCTGCTTCCTAAAGTACTTTGATCATTCATATTCTCTCAAGAAGTCATCAACTAGAACAACAAACATCTTCCAAATGTCCAGAAATTCACAACTCTGCCTTAACTAACTCTAGTGCTGCTTAGGAATTCAGGCTGAGTGCTACAGCTGAGCTCTAGAAGACTTTGGTTCTCAGGAAGAAAGCAAAATATGGGAACAATTAAGATGTTTGCAATTGTATTTCTCAAATGATGCTTGCACAGTATCAAAAAAAGTTCAAGAGTGTCAGACTAAGAATGTATGTATCTATTAAATTTTTGTTTTAATTATATGAAATGGGTGGTTCCATTGCTTTCATCTGTTTGGGTTCTCTTAAATGCAAGGTAAGTTTCCTATTATGCAAGAAAATGAGTTTACCAAGCAGACTGGGATTTCCAGGCACTGCTCCACTATAATTCACTGTAACTGAGCATTAATCATGATTAATAATCTATCATTCCTGTGGTTTAGGAAAATAAAAAGGAGTACTTTATTGAGAAACTGCCCTTTCTCTTAGCATACTTCATATAATTGCACAATGGAACAATTCTAGGGAATTCATTATTCTGCTGGTAATGATCTAGATTTCCTTAACATTGCACACGAATGGGAATCGTTGCCATCTGATGGATGTTCCATGGCCTGTACAAAATGAGTTGGTGGGTGCAAGCCAATTCATAATGGATGTGTGCCCATATCACAAAAAACACCATTATAATTGGTACCCTTAGGAAAAATGCCAAGCTCTGAGTGTAAACAGAGCACTTTCTGTCCCAAGAGCTCGTGCTTCCGTGGTCAGAGTTGAAGCACAACAGAATGAGCAATGCTGAACTGCATCTGCTGCCTCTGTAAAAGGCTTTGCTCTCCTGAGGTAGCACTTGGCATCTTGGACCCTCTCTAAAATAAGAAAACTCACTCTGAAGGGCCACACTTGTGCCTCTTCCCCTACCATCACTAAAGTCATTGAGGGGGTTGTGCAGGTATAAAATGTAGAGGAGACAGTCCTTGCTACAGTCCATAATTTCATAATTTGCTCTCTTTCTAAGTGTATCCAGAAAAAAATGTGCTGTCACTAAATGAGAGGTGTTTGTTCACCAAGCCTCATTTGAAATCTGAGAAATCTTTCTATCAGAAAGTGCTGAAAGTCACTGACTTACCATCTCCTAGTGCTTTCCAGCAGGAGACACCATTTTAGTTGCATTGAAGAGGGATCAGGGACTTCCAACAGAGAAGTTCATAGGTCACTGGAGTACATTGCTTATAAAATAAAGAGAGAAGAATGAAGATATCTCATGGACATTCTATTGATGGCCTGCTCTGATGAACAGAGCAGCTCAAGCAGCAAAGTAATACTAGAAAAGTCTTCTTCCTTATTAGAGAATCCTGCAAATCAATCAGTCATTCACATGCCCAGTATATTGGAATGACCATGGTACAAAGAGAGGGAAAAAAAACCCACCTTACCCAAATGCATGAAAAAATCACCATCAATGTCATTAAAATGCAGACTCAATTTATACTGCCAGTTTTGCCATGCTTCCTACAAAGTAAAAAATAATGCCAGAGAGCAGTGAGGAAAATATTATTAGACCAACTGTATAAAAAGCATGAATGATTCCATTAGCAAGCACAGCTGAGAAAAGACAGGATTTAAATCAAATCTAAATATGATAAGATTATACAGCCAAAGTGACATGTCCATTTTAGAAAACATACAGAAGAAGCAAAACAAAAGCAGAATTTGGGTTTTCTGCCATAAAACATGTTCCATCTCACACAACATTTAAAAACCTGATGGAAGCATCCTTTCAGCTCTGCAATTTTATACTGTATTTGATCTAGGTGAGTCACAAATGTGCAGGTAATTTAGAAGAACACTCTTTGCTCATCTCTCTTGCAGTGTATTTGCATCATTCTTCCCTTCAGAGAGTAACACTTGGTACAGTCATCACACAAACCCTTCTAAAGGAACAGCAAAGCTGCCCACAGAACCACAATTCCACTTCCTAAAATCTTTTGGGGTATTGTAACCTGGTGTTGCTCCACGTAGAAGGTGAAGGAAAATGTACCAAATTTTGCTGTTAAGTGGGACAGCCAATAGTTTAAAATAAAAGGATCAAGTTTTCTAATGTGTTCTCTTTTGTAACAGGAGAGTTCAGCCTCCACTTCATGAGGCCTTTCATCAAAAAAACAGACGGAAAAAATCTTTCTCCAAGAAGCATATTTTTGGATACTACTGTGTCAAATTAATTCTCCTGTATATGCATATGAAGAGAGAGCAAGAGAGAGACAGAGGTAAAGGATGAAGAGGCAGGAAGAGATGGAGTATCTTTGAGTAATGTAACAGAGAGCAGTTGTTCCTCACTTGTGCTCTCCGATTGCTCTGTGAAGTTTTCTCTTGTGAGGGTAATCCTTGTGCTTTCTGCTGCACCAGAGGCAAATGAGCCATGGGATGAAAGCAGGATGAGCCTTTGCCCCAGGCCTCAAAGATTTCTGCTTCCTCATGTGCTGCCCACTCCTGTCCTTGTTTACATCCAGGTGGTCTCTCTGATATAAGTTTTATTTGTGAGGGATTTCACCACAGTTCAAAATCAGGAGTGGAGAAGGACACACATCAGTATTCATCTTCTCAAAGATATAATCAAATATTAATCCATTTTAAACCCCTTGATTTTACTATGCATTTCAATTTTTCCTGTAATCTATAACCCGTACACACCATAAAGTCATCACTGAGAGGGGAAGGTGGAAAAATCCAGCTACCTTTCCAAATGGAAATCAGAATATATATTTTTAGCTACATTAAGCCAACTGCATGCAGCTCTGCACACTTATGTAATTCCCACATAAAAATAATCCATAATATTCCAGAGGAACAAATCCAATTCTTAGTCATATAAATTTTCATATAAGTCCATCAAAACCTATTCCAAAAATGTCTCAGTCTTTTTGAGTGCTAGAGTTGGAACAAAAGAGCGAGTCCTTTAAAATGCCTTTGGAGCTTCCAGGGATGTTAAATCTAATTGCCCTTAGCATAGCACCGATCCACAAAGGTTTAAGTCATGGAAAATGTATTTTACCTTTATACAAGGTATACTATGCAAAGTTTATCGTGGCACAGTAAAGTCGTGTCTAACTTGCTTCGTGCAAATTTCAGACAGAAAGAAATTAACCTCTGATGCTTCACTTTGACTAACCAGGACAGAAAAATGTGTCTTCTCACTGCAGATACACAATATTGTATTAAATTACATGATGCAGCATGGTATGATATGATAAAATGTCCATTTGTGCACTTGGGTCTATATGTGCATATAGAAATTCATATTTAAACTCACAGATATTTATAGCAAGGTCTCTATGTTCCAAGAAACAAGAAAGGATAGAGAGTAGGCAAAGATTAATTGTGATAGAAACCTTCTTAAGACAAAGCCAGAACCAACACTATTTGTTAATACCCTTAGAAGCTATAATCATCCCAGCTGAGCCTGAGGATAAATTTTCCAGGGAAAGGGTTGTTCATGACAGAGGGATCATTTGCTAAAGCAGCACCATGGGCGTTGGGAAATGCTCATTTCCCTGGAGAGTTCCACAGGGCTTTGCCACCCCACAGAAAGAGGAATGGCCCAGGTCCTTTCCTGGCTGCCTGGAAAGCCCTGAAGACTCAGGTCAACCTTCTGTTCCATTTCATGAAAATATTAAATAATCACTAGAAGAAAAAACCTTCCCTGTTTATCCCAGAAAAATTTCTCTTTGACAATCCTCCTGCACGAGGTCTTTAATTTTTTAAAATCTATCTGAACAAATATTTTTCCCCAACATTCAGAATCTCTGGTGGAATAAACTCTGTTCTGCTTTTGCCCATAATGGCTCTGTCACAAGCCCTGTTTATAGGAGTAACTACATCTGAGCCAGAGAGCTCATAACTTTACAGACAAAAGAGAGAACAATACAAGTCAGCACAGTCTGCCATGGGAAAGCAGAACAAAGGGACCAAGGATGGATTTTTTTCCCCTCAGAGAACTTTATTTCTCAGCTAGAAACCTGATCTGCAGCGGGGGGAGCCAAGGGACAAGCCGTGTTTATTACACAGCCAAGGATGCCATTCCCTCAGCTCAGTCCCCCAGCACACTCAAGACTCCTAAGCTACATCTGCTCTATAAAGGCCCAAGAAAACTTAGGCAGCCTTAAAAAAAAAAAAAAAATTTGCAATGGCACGTCTTCTTAACCAGCATCATGGAAAAGTCATGCTGCTCTGCATATAGCCTTCAGGATTGTGTCTGTAACACTTGAAATGCTGCCCAAGTCTGGCTCCGCTCGCGCTAACAGGTACTCTGTGTGCTTCTGCATCTTTTCCTACAAGCAAATGTTGCAACTTTCCCATTGCGACAGCTGTAAGAGGCATTCACTTTACTCTGTTTTTCCTTAACACTCCCGATTCCTTTTATATCTAGTTGGGAATACACTCAAGCGCTAATGGCACTTGTTCAGCCATCCAGGGAAGGCGCAGCGTCGCCTTCCTAGCTATTTGTATTTCTTCATTTTGGCAATCTGAACTTTGCCAAGATCCAAATGCCTGATATTTAACTTAGATTACTCTCTCTTAAGGTCAGAAGGCACCAGTAATATTATCTGGCAGCACAAAATCGGCATCTACTTGGAGAAAGGAGGTTTTAAATCAATCATTCCTCCCTCTTACTCATGTAAGTGAGAGGATTCCAGGTGCCAGGTTATTAAGTCACCACTGACAGATGAGACAGGTGATAGACCTGCATCCCTATGCTATCACTGCTGGTTTGGTAACCTCAAGGGATGTGGCTCCTGCTGCACGATGGGGATCTACAGCTGCTGGTGTTTGCTGATCACTCAGCACAGGCCCCTTCTGCCACTGATGGAAAAGTCCCAAGGGGACAAGCAGAAACCTACCTCTTAAGGTTCCAAAGACATTGTTTCATGGAAAAGGACCTCCTCTGGGGTTCCAGACCATAAACACTTTCAACTGTCAGCCCTATGGGGTGGTTCAAAGCACAGGGAACAGCACCAGTGCAGCCCTGCACAGTGGAAAATACCCAAACCGTGTGAGCCACTTGCAGATCTTTGAACCCATGTGGAGAATGTGGCTTGAGAGGGATAAGAGGAAATGGCATTAAAAGCCCTACAAAAGCCATTGGTGAGGCAAAGCCAACAGAGCTGCAGGGGAGCTAAAGGAGCGTGGCGACAGCCAAAAAATTCAGAAACTCCTTCAGCAACCAGGAGAGAGACAAACCACCACCCAGGCGGGTCTGACATCAGGGTTTTGAACAGGAGCCTTCAAAGTTGGGGTTTTTTTTACGAGGCTCCTTTTCGTGAGGCAGGGCACAGCAAATACTCCATTTAAGGCTTCCGTGGAGTAGAACCAGAAATATCCAGCCTTGCAAATATCCTCCCCAGCCAAGCGCGGAGCCGAGACATGCAAAATGAGCGCCCGTCAGCTCCGTGCCAGCGCAACAGAAGGCAGAAGTGCTTCAAGGAACTTGTGACAGGTTCTCTGGATGCACCAATTCGAGATGGGCCAATCCCTGCTTGAAATGTGCAAACTCTCACACTCCTTGGCATGACCGCACAGCCAAAATGCACATTTTTTAAAAGGATTTAAAGAAAACACGACCAAAGGGACAGGAACGTGGAAGAATTTGGCAATGGGGAGCAGATGCTTCCTAGGGAGGAGACAGGACTTAGTTTGAAAAGGGTTTGAGGGAAACTTTATATATAGAAGTTGAATGAAGTCGCTGAAATTTGTTTTATGGGAAAATGTCTAACTTAGAGGGGGGACTGCACCCTAAACAGTCACACCTAGGAGAGCAACTCTGTGGAGATTAACTTGGGGGAGTGAGGAAACTTAAATGGTATAAATATCAGGGTTCTGGTCTACCTACAGCAGCTGCTGCTGGCAGCCACTGCCACCAGCCAGCACAACCCAGGTTAGCCAGGTTTTGTCACCACTGCTTTTTAACAAGCCCTCTGGAACCCCAGGGGTGACGCATCTGGAATGGCTGCAGCCAGAGGGAGAGCTGGCATGTGAGGCTGGAGTGGGAAAGAGAGCGAGGGGGGATCAAAATACATTTAAGGCACAAACAAGAAGAGCAGAGATTCAAGATGAACTC